TACATTCCTGCCAATCTGTACTTATTATGCATGACAGGCGCGGATCCAGGGGGGGGCCGAGCGGGCCTTGGCCCCCCCCCCCCGCAAAAAAAAAAAAAAAAAAAAAAAGAGAAAAGAAGGAAAAGAAGGGAGAAAGGGAAAAGGGAAAGAAAGAAGAGGAAGAAGAAAAGTAAAGGGAGAAGAAGGAAATCGGGGGGGGGGGCCGAAAGGGCCTTGCCTCCCAGGCTGTTAACCCCCCCCCCCCCCCCCCCGAATCAAAAAAAAAAGGAAAAGAGGAGATACTGGCGTACTGATAGAGGGGGGGGGGGGGCTTGGGGGAAATCAAATTCAAACGTGGTTTATTTCTGATTCCACAACGGTGTATTACAAATAATGCTGAAATGACATAATTTCCGAAATTTTTCCTCACTTTTTAGTAAATTATACGTTTGTATGTGTTTGTTGGAAAATAAAAAAAATCCTAAATTTACAACCAGGCAAAAAATATGATTCTTGAGATTCCTACATGTCAGGGCCCGAGGTACGGCGGGGATCAAGAGCCTCGAGGCATCAAAATATGCTCATCTGACCGTGATTAAATGCCTAAAACCCCTAAGCTTCCGGGGGCTTTGCCCCTTTGGATTCCATCTAGGGCCCTACGGCGGCCTCTTAGATGATCATCTGACGGTAATTTAATGCCTAAAACCCCTGATTTTTTGGGGCTCCGCCCCCTGGACCCCACGCCAAATAGTGACTTGCCAGTGTCACAAAATAATAAGGTATACACAAAAATATGCTCATCTGACCTTAATTAAACGCCTAAAACCGCTGGGCTTCCGGGGCCGGCTCCGCCGCCTCGACCCCACCTCTTTGAAATTCAGACAAGGATTAAGAGTATAGAGAACGGTACAACGCATCGTTTTCTTTCTCGCGCAGGAGGGGAGGAGGGGGGGGGGCTGAATTGAGACGAGGATTCAGATTCAGAGGCGAGAACGGTAATACGAATCTTTAATTATTTAATGAAACGTAAAACCTTATGCGCTTCGCGAGGGATGGAGGGGGAACTAAATTCCGATGAGGATTATTTTCGAGAACGGTACAATGAATCGTCTTCTTCTCTAATGATTAAATGAAGATTAAAAGCTTCCGCGCTTTGCGCGGAAGGGGGGAACCTGAATTCAGACGAGGATTAAGAGTCGAGAACTGTAAAACGAATCGTCTTCTTTCTCTAATGATTTAATGAAACGTAGAAGCTACCGCGCTTCTCGCAGGAGGGGGAGGGGGGACTGATTTTAGACAAGGATTAAGAGTCGAGAACTTTACAACTAATCGTTTTCTTCCTCTAATAATTTAATGAAATGTAAAAGCTTCCGCGCTTCGCGCGGGAGGGGGGGGGAACTGAAATCAGACAAGGATAAAGGGTCGATAACGGTACAACGAATCGTCTTCTTTCTCTAAAACTCTAATCGTAAAATTTTCCGCGCTTCGCGCGGGAGGGAAAAACTAAATTCAAACGAGAATTATTTTCGAAAACGGTACAACGAATCGTCTTCTTCCTTTAATAGTTTAATAAAACGTCAAAGCTTCCGCGCTTCGCGCAGGAGGGGGAGGGGGGGGACTGAATTTAGACAAGGATTAAGAGTCGAGAACTGTACAACAAATCGTCTTCTTTCTCTAATAATTTAATAAGTCGTAAAATTTTCCGCGCTTCGCGCGGGAGGAGAAAAACTAAATTCAGACGAAAATTATTTTCGAGAACGGTACAACGAATCGTCTTCTTTCTCTAATAATATAATGAAACGTCAAAGCCTGGGAGGGGGGAACTCGCCACCCCCCCCCCCAACCGCATTACGTCACTGTTGGTCACCATAATGTACCAATATTTGGCTCGCATAATTTCAAATTTGGGCCCCCCCCCCTAAGAAATCCTGGATCCGCGCCTGATGCATGATATATATTTCTACGGATATTTAATATGTTATGTAATCACAGTAACCTGCACTAAACATGTTCGCCGCTTAAAGTCACTCGGTAACATTGTTGAAGGTTGATGAAGAAAGCGTAACTTTGTATGAAATGTTACTTATTATATTCCTTTTACTGTACTTACCCTCTAACATGCAACAAATCCTGAAAGATTCTCAAACCACAAAGATATTTACGGTTTTCTTTCAAGGCGTCACTGTGCGTCACCCTCTTACAGTCAAATTCTTCTAACCATTTTTGAATTTTCCCAATCGTTTTTCAATGAAAATAAGACAGGCTTTTAAAAATCTCTCAACACTTAAATGTCTGGACTGGTATATAGAGCCAAGTCACTGCTTTGTGACGATTTACATTCACCTTAAATGTAATAAAATTATAATAATATAGTTGGGAGAATTACAGAATCGATCAGATCAGTTTTTTCCAATTTCTATCATTAATTATGGTCTATTTTCACTAAAACTTACATATTATCTATTGTATATCTATCATTGAAGTAACTACCTTAGCACCATTTTCTCTCATCTGACAATGTTACCTATGTAGAGCCAAGTCACTGCCTTGTGATGATTTACATTCACCTTAAATGTAATAAAATTATAATAATATAGTTGGGAGAATTACAGAATCGATCAGATCAGTTTTTTTCCAATTTCTATCATTAATTATGGTCTATTTTTACTAAAACTTACATATTATCTATTGTATATCTAGCATTGAAGTAACTACCTTAGTACCATTTTCTCTCATCTACAATGTTACCAAGGCCCTTTAAACGATGCCATCATAATGATTATATACGTGAAAGGGTATTTCCGACTACGTCATGATGCACACACACTCTGCATGCTTTGTGACAGTTCTCAGGCAATTCGGGTTTGTTTGTTTTTTGGAAGGGGGGGGGTAGGGGGTTGCTTGTTTTTCTTACCAGAAAGAACCAAACCCTCAAATTAATTAATTCGATATTCTTCATCTTAATTTAATTTGATTTTATTGATTTATTTGTTTATATTTGATTTTCTTTTTCTTTTGCAGTTTTACAAATATATAACAAACAAATAATTGCAAATTGTATACATGGAAACAGATTATTATGTAGAATAAACTAAGGCTGGCCGTAACTAATCGAAAACATCAAACAGGAGGGTTGACAAAGTAAGCAAAGCTTGATAGCATGACTACCCTCAATGGATACATAATAATACAAATATGGAGGAAAAAATATGGGTAAATGGGAAAAAAGAGAGAGAAAAAAAAAGGGGGAAAGAAAGATTCACAGATGTATTCGGTAGTTGAATCTCTTACCAGTGATTAGAGAACATCTTAGATACAATTATTCTTAAAAGGAATTCTATCCACCCATTAGCTTTCCGCAGACAAGTAATACAAAATTCAACACAATTATCACGATGGTACCATATGATGACGTTGTCTGCTCTGCACATATGGGGATTCCCCATGCAGCGGCAAACACATGATGACCCCGTTAACCCTCACCTGTGATAGATATAAGGCAGACATCATCCTCTGCGCCCTAGCTACATTACATTTCGTCCGTACTTTATAATGGGTTATATTTAGACATTTGCTTACTTTAGATCAAGTTGACATCTAGAGCAACAGCAGCACTCTAAACGAGTAGGTGCCTAGATACTAAGGGCTCTACTACAGAAATGCTATTCACCGGGCGGTTTATCTGATGTAAGGTGTTGGAACGAGATAAATATGACGTGTGTATAAGATAATCTATAGTTGCCACTCTCCACCCACTGGGTACTCGGTACTCTATATTATGTCAAATATGTCAATGTTTAGTTTTGTTATATTTTTATATGTTCCTTGTATTTTTGTATCTCACAAACTTGTTTTGTCGTTCTAGAGGGCGTACTTGGAAAGCAGTTTTGTTAAACTGAATGTACCTACCCTCTATTCTAAATAAAACTTGAATAAATAATTTTTTTTTTTTTTTTAAACAGTCCTTGACTGCTTGAGCGAACCAATCGTCGTAAATTTCATTGTAGCTATCATCATAGTTCGGCTAAAACAGGGTAATGATATGATTGCAGGGCTCTCAGGGAGAACGGTATTGATAATTATAAGAGTGCCCTGGGTAAACAAGACATATCATTACTATCATTATTACTATCATTATTATCATAATTAGTATTTGTATGATTAAACTCTCATATATCAAGCCAATAATATATTATGCTAAACTGACTAAACGTAGACTGAGCCTCTGATTTGAAGTTAGGCATTGCGGTTTCATATTGACTAGTTTACATGATTTACTGATTAATATTCTTGCTGCACCGTGTTATGGCATGGACCTAACGGTCTATGATACGAGGTAATTTTCTTGGGTTTTCCCCACGTTCTAAACGCGCATGCGCGGGAAGTGAAACCATCACGATCATGCTCGTTTCTATAGAAGGAAGTGAGACGGTCTTAGTATGAAATTCGTTCCCCATATATTTTTAGACGGGAAACAAAGTTTTTGAGAATGGTCATAGTTCCCCTACTATGATTTTGAAATTGCGTCAAATATGACACATTTGAAACTTGAAGACATGGATATGTTGTATAGTCTACATTTACGCATAGGCCTAATGTTTACATTTCTTTTTTTATAAATTGAAGATATTGATTTAGAGAAAAAAAGGAAGCCGACTATATATTGTTACGATTCTTGAAATTTCTACCAGATAATGCTGTTATCGCTAATTACACTAAAGCTCATTAAAGAGGGGGTGGCAAGCCTGGACCCCTCCCCTGCCTCCCGTCACATGCACCTGTTCCTCCCCTACCACGTCTCAACCCGACTTTCTGGTGCAGTTTAATTCATGTCTGCTTCGGGACGTAATTTTGTTTGAGAGTGGATTATGCCACGATAATATACTTTATAGTAAACGGTGTAAACAAGCAGTTCAGAAAGAAGAAAATAAGCGCTGAGAAACGTCTTGATTAAGGCTATACCCCTCGGCTTTCCGGACTATTGTTACCATAATGTGTTTGCGTGCATTGCTCTATGAGTCGGCACTCTGGTATTGTCAAACGTATTAGGTTTTTAAGAATCGTCCACATTGCTTCTCGTAATAGTCATCTCAAGCGATTTTCACCAGTTCGGATAACTAACTTCTACCAGCATCACTTCAAGTACTATGTTGTAGCTATGGCAACATTGTGTTCCCACATCTTCATCACATTGTTGGCATTGATCATGTTGTTGGGTAAGCGTTGACAATATTAACTATGTAATGGCGCCATGACGGATGCGGGCGCGGTCAAATTGCATTCTGCCTTTGTCATGTATTGTAGCACTTTGTGATTTTGTTCTATGTTTTCCTCAATGTGCCGTTGTTGAAAGTGGTATAGAATTGTGCATAATTCTATCCCTCCCATTTCTTGTGTGTATAAAGACCTTTCAAATAACATATTTGTATGTGACAAGTAAATTCGTTTATAAAAAGGTTTCATCAAAATGATTCGTTTTTCTCTTCTATCCTATTTATATCTCTTTTTACTTCAACTTTGTCCTATCGTAGCTAGGAATATTATTTAATTATTTTTTAATTGGAAAACTCGCCTTAGTTTTGATATGTGTTCACATAGGGAAACATTTTCATACAAAGAACGTATTAAAGTGAGATCAGATATCTGTAATTTTCCAAATGAATGGAACGGGGAATCCCCGACTGAGAACTGAGGAGAGAAGCGGATATGAGACATCATATCGTAATGAAGACGCCAAACGTCCCCTTGCTGTAGACGGTGAAAGCAACGTATGGTTATTTCCAACCGCATGGAGGGTGCATGGGAACTAGGTCATTTAGATTTTTATTTTACACTATCAACATTCGAGCAATTGCCGTTCATACAATTGGGCATCAAGACGGTAAATTTGTATTTTTTAAGCAAGGCATGTTTCTGTAGGAATCTTGATTCACAACAAAGGTATGATTACAAAACATCATTAATTCAACACCCACTCTTGTCCATTTGTATGTGCTTTTATTGTGTATTATCAACTTTTTTGTACAGACTGATCTACATGAAATTCTTTTATCATAACTTTTTGTCAATTTTGTTTTCATGAAAATAATGATATATTTGTCTATTTCTGTAATATTTTATGTTTTACTGCTCGGATGGAAATAAATCTGAATTGATTTTTTTTTTAATATTTAAAGCGATCGTACAATCTGAAGGGATCAAAAGCGCCTGCATTGACGTAGCTATCCCCCTGACAACTGTTTAACAATATAATATTATAAAATCGAGAAACAAAATTCGCATTTCTTTTTCTGATTCAGACCGGTACCCTTCCCCCTTCTTCCTTCCCCCAATCGTTCTAGTGCCGCCTCGATGAATGAAACCACGCTTCTGAGTACCTGTCACAGTAAAGTGTCAACATTTTCCCTCACTCAACAAGCAAACAAATGGCAAGAGCCCCCTTCCCCTCCTCCCCTTCGAGATTGTATTTGTTTGCCCACGGTTGAAGCTTTATATGTGATCAATTCTTACCTTGGTAAAGTCTTCTCGGCTGATAAATAAGTGAGGGGCGTCGAGGTCATGATGCATGTGTCGACCGGCACTGCATTCATCTCGTAATGGTATGTGTCCAGGCGTGTACGCAAGGGGGGGGGGCCTTTGGTATTTTTTTATGTGTGTATTTTGGAGGAAAAGCCGCCCTCCCCCCTTTTTTAATTTTTTTATTATATCAACAACAAAAAAATGGCTGAGCAAAATGTCCAATCTTCAAATTTCGAGACCAAAAAAAAATGTGTCCTCTTACCCCCCCCCCCCCCCTCCCATTCCCCCCCCCCCCCCCCCCCCCCCCGCTTATTTCAGCGGCTGGCTGAGTCGTTGCGATTTTTTAGGGGGATCAACAAACAAAAAAAAGTGTCCTCCCCCCCCCCCCCCCCCCGCTTATTCAGCGGCTGGCTGAGTCGTTGCGTAATTTTCGGCCCGATTTAAAAATGTTAACCCCCCCCCCCCTTGAAAAAATCCTACGTACTCGCCTATATGTGTCTGAAGGTATCCATTGAGAGCTTTCGCACCAGTTGTAGCAGATGTCCTGACAACCAGGTAATGACAAAGAAATTGATAATTTTCATGTTTTTCGTCTGGTCCACATGAATGGATACTGTGTTTTCCATCAGCATTAAAATATACGCAACCGGACAATATACAAACTGGATACAGTACAGGAATGTCTATACAAATAAAGTTTGTGTACATTATTATCAATATGTCATCCTTATTATTAGTATTATTAGTATTATTATTGATATTATTAGAATTATTGTTATTATTATCATAAAAAAGTGGTTTGGTTAATTCATAAATATGCATCGTAGCCCGAGAGCTGAATTGTACAATATAATCTGTTTACCATAATCACGATGTAAGGATCATGCATAACTAATCAGGTACAATTTGTCAGCGGTAAAGGGGCGCTTTCACACCGGACCTTGCGTTGAGTTGCGTAGTGTTGCGTACCGACTACGCCGAGCGTACGCTGCCCTACGCAACCGTAAGCATACATACACGCTAGGCCTACGTAACCGTACGCGACCTTACGCCGAAGCCATATTTTTAGGTACGCGGTGCCTATGTACAGGGTACGTAACCATACGCCATCGTACACCATACTACGCAGCTCACAGATCCGGTGTGAAAGGGGCTTTAGGCACAATGACATTTCTTTAGCTGTACGTGCCTAAAAGTTGGAAATTCTGCTGCCTTCTCAATAAGGCAAAAAAAAATCATTTGGTTGTCCTCGACCGCCCGCTCGTCATTTTCGGGCCGCTCGTATTTTTTTTTATTTATTTTTTTTTTTTTTTTATTCAATTTAAAAAAATAAAATAAAAAAAATTTCTTCTTTTTTTCTTCATTTTTTTTTTTTTTTTATAGGGGAGCAATCTTTAATGCCAAAAATACCATTTTATGCATTTGCAAGGATCAAAATGCGTCCCGTTGCCAGTTTGGTCTTTTCAGTACGCAATTAGGTATTTATTAAACTTGCCATTTTTATTTTTCTATGTCAAAATGCCGTTCATTCAAATCAGGTTCTGAGCATTCTTAAACTCTTTTTAAAGCCCATCTGTACTAGTTTACAGGAGAGATTATACCACCCTGCAAGGTCACTGGACAGATCAAATCAGCTCTCAGTTAATATAAGATAAAGAGGATCATGGGGGACCAATGGTCACCGAGTATGCATTGTTTGCTACATAAAGGGCGCAAGTAGCTATAAGTAGTACAATGGAGATTTAAAAGGTGCTGTATTTCAAAGCCCAAAATACTTTCTGTGTTGTTCTTGATATTCATTGTACATTAAACTAGTCTTTTACCATATTAAAGTGTTTTATAGACTTTGTTTGAATGCTTGACAATCCCAGTGATTTTTTTTTTTATGGAAAAAAAATTATTTAAACAAAAAAAAAATCCGCCCGCCCGCCCCTACTCCAGAAAAGCAATCGAGGACAACCAAACATTTTTTTTTTTTGGCCTTATGTATGATACATGGTGGATCCATTATGATTATAGTCTTATATACCAGATGAAATTATTAGCCATGAAATGATGTCTAATTGTAACAATTATTTATTCAGAATCCTTTTATTTATTTTCAAAACCAACATTAACCCACTGTATCAGCCTGCCACTTATTGTAGACTATAAGGTTTCTTGATGAAATTTTCGATGTAATATGAAAGAAGAGATGAAAAGCTGTCCAATCATGTACGGCTATACATTTACCAAGAAGTAATATGGTAATAATAACTCAGTGACACCCTGTATAATTATGATGACAAATGATTTACTTACCGAAACCTCTGAGAGCCTTCATTAGTTATAGAAACAAATATTTCTTTATTAATGGCATTTTTAAAATACTACATTATCATTAGTCAAATTAAGAAGAGGTGAAATATCGTAAATTCTCATAATGCACATTGTTTATAGCCAATGTAAAGAAGCTACTATGTCACGGTTTTGTGGAGTAATTGTTTAACCTTCAATGTGGAAGGGTACGCTACACCTTGATGAAATAACATGTTGACGATTAACTGTGAAAGAAATCGAAAGCAGTTTGGTTACTTTGGAGTGTAATCTAAATCATGACTTCCTTTTCCCTGGCACGTGAAGGAAACACTTTCACTTCTCATGTTAGAAGGCAGTGGCGGGTCCAGGGGTTCTGGGGGCCCGGGTCCCCTCCCCTGGCCAAAAAAGGGGTAAAAATACGCTAATGTTACCTTTATTTGGGACGGGCCCCCTCCCCTGGTGCTCAAGGGGGATGGCGAGCGTTTTTGTACTTTTCAAGGGCCGAAAAAGCAAAAAAGTTAGTGCTCACTACCCCCCCCCCCCCCTCCCTATTCACCGGCTGGCTTTTTTCGCCGCTCAATACGAATTGGGTCCCCTCTTTGGTCCCTTCCTCTGCCGCCGGCTGAATCCGCCCCTGTGAGAAGGATATATTTTTTATAGACAAAAATTAACTGAAAAGCTTGCCAGTGACTTGCGCGACATAACAACAAGTACTCAATGTAAAGTGCATTATTTCTAAAGGGATGCCATTGTGCATAGCAGGTCATTCATTGATTTGTTATGTTTTGTTGGAAACATGAATAAATTGAATTGAATTGAATTGAATCAAATAGTTGATGACCAAGGTTTTAGGAGAGAGACATGCGTTAATTAAAATACTTTAATTAGCAAGCAAGTCTATTGAAGGAGGAAGAAATATGCACGGTCTAGTTATTTGTTCAAGTTAATAATATGAGATCGAATGATCTATAATGACAACACCAATTGGTTTAAAGACAGAAAGAAAGAAGGAAATGCGATGGTGGGAAAATTCCATTGATATGTAGGCGCTATTCTGGTTCATTAAAAAATAGGGAGCTCTAAAACAGTTTCGTATATTCAGTGATAGTGTTCAGTAATATGCATCGGACAGAAATATGTATTTGAGGTTAGAATATTTGGATATGCTTTACCTTCAAGTTTTGCACCTTTATTACATCTGAACAAAAACTCTCCCATTATCGCTGCTATCACAGCATATGCCTATTTCAAAACACCTTGATATATAATAATGGTTTGCAAAAGTATTCAAACAACATGTTCTCTCATTCTCATAAATCCAATGCACATGGTAATAAGCATGATAAGACAAAGTTCGAAGTCCAAAGACTTCTTATTCATGTGGTCATTAAAACCATGGTTATAATCTTTCTACAATATGAACACCACTGTATAATCTTTATAGTGTGTGCGAGGTGTATTAGCTTTGACAAGTAATAGTAGGCTGTTCTAAATAATATAAAGGTTATCCAATGGATTGAAACAAGGTTCTGTGAAAGCCTTGATACATTGCATCATTTAAACAATGAAGCACCAAATCACGAGTCAAAATTTAACTTTAAAAATATTTAAGACCAAAGAAGCATATGCATATAGCCTGAGCTACATTTGTTCCATCAGCCCAAACTTGGTACCAGGCGATTTACAACACTTTAGCTACATGTACGTTCACACGGGCAAAAGTTACCCTAGGGTAACAGGTCGTGTTAAGAGCTAGTCGAGGGAAATATGTCGGTGTATATGGCGGGCCAGGCATGCCACTATCCGTTCAACTATACTACTATAAGTCTATCCATCCAGCCAATCAAAACGCAGGAACCTGTACATCTATACAGCTATACCAGTGACGGATTCAGGGGGAGGGGGGCACAAGGGAGAAAAGAAAAAGGGAGGAAAGGAGAAAAGGGAGGGGGAAAGAAAAAGCAGGGGAAAATAAAGAAGAGGAAGAGAGAAAGAAGAAAAAAGAGGGAGGAGAGAAAAGGAAATAGTGGAAAAGGGGGAAAGGAAAAGGGGAAAGAAGAGAGGAGAAAAAGGCGGAAAAGACGGAGAAGGGAAAAGGGGGGAAAGGAGAATAATGAGAAGAGAAAAAAAAGAAAGTGGCATGATATTATAAGAAAGTGTTCTTTTTTTTTACCAGGAAAGGGGCGGTGGGGGGGGGGACGCAATTTTGCAGTGTGCATAATATGAAGAACAACAAAGAAAGAGATGGAAAAAACCGACAATATCCGGACAGGTGGGGGACCCTATATTATGCATACTGCACAATTGCGTGACCCCCCCCCCCGCCCCTTTCTCTGTAAAAAAACACCTTCTTACAATATCATCCCCCTTTGTTTCTTTTTCCTTCTCATTATTCTCCTTTTTCCCCTTTTCTCTTTTCCGTCTCTCCCACTATCTTCCCTTTCCGCCTTTTCTTTCCTCTCATTCTTCCCCTTTTTTCCTTCCCCCCCCCCCCCCATTTTTTTCTCCTGTTCCCTCTCCTCTCATTTTCACTTCCCTTTTCTTTCTTTTCCCCCTCCTTTTCTAACTTTTTCTGTTTTCCCTTCCCCTTCCCCCTTTGTTTAACGGGGGCACATTCCCCCTGGTCCCCCCCCCCGCCTTGAATCAGCCACTGGTATAGCTGTACAGGTGTACTGATATTGGCATGCTTGGCCCGCCATATACGCCGCCATTTATTTGGGTTGAACTTGAATTCATTCTGCATTTTAACAATGCATACATCTTATAAATGAAGACTTCACATAATACAATGCCACCATTAGAAAACCCTGTATAAACTAAAATAAGAAACCAATTCAACTTGACAAGAAGAAGACATGTTAAAGCATTTGTCACAATTAAGTTATTTGCCAATTTCACAAATATGTGAGGAGCAGTTTAGGCCTTGATTTATTTCACATAGCCCCCTAGTAAATCTTTTTGATTTTCATTTCACACAAATTTGCACATGACAAGTTACAAAAGCACTTCAAATACATCTCAGAAACTTCAAAACGCATCAAGATGAATACCGAATATACGTGTTCTTAAATGTAACCTTGTATGATATACAGGTGGAAGTATTCTTTCCAAGAGGGGGAAACCAAAAGGTAATCATGAACCACCTCAATTTTGGGACAGTTTTTTATTAGTATATTGGTTGAATTTGTCTCCATGTTTAAGATATCCGTGCTAATTTGTGGTCAATAGTTGTCCAAATGCTATCTCTGAAGTAGTCTATTGCTTCTAGCTAGTTTCTCATTGAACGAAATATTGAAACAGCACGTACTACACATTTGCCTTCATCAACATTAGCTTTTGTGATTAAAAGTCCAGGAAGAGCTCTCATATTCAGCTGACTACTTATTGAAGACAAACATCAAAAATATACTTGATGATCTTCTCGTTTCAGGTAAGGTACATGCTACAGATCAGGTTCCTGACAACCAAGTATGGACCCCTGCAACAGCAACATTCTTATATGGCCAGCCAAAAGCTTACATCAGCTGCAAATTTATCGGGACTCCATACGGTGTCTACTGGATGAAAGGTATGTACTAGTGTACATGGTGGGGGAATGGGCGTAGTAAAGGGGAGCCGGGTGCAATTTCTGGTTTCCTCAGGTGCCCTTCCCCTCCCCCTCGAAAATAATTAAACAAGGAAAACAAGGAAAATCTCAAGATGCGATGCGAATGAAAACGCAATATGCAAATGGCAATTATGCTGTAGTTTGGATATTATTTAATATATTTAAATACTAATTTTGTCTTTAATTATTTGTTATTATCTGCCACAAATTATTCTGTCTTGCAGATTATTTTCTTTGTCTAGCCGTTCTATATTGAAATTATTTCTTTAATTATTCTTATATAATGTATGGATATACTGTAGATAATGAAAAAAAAATTGAAATAAAGATCCCTGTCGAAGGGGGATTACGCTATTCTAGGCTTTCAGCAGGTCAATTATGCTCCTGTTGCAGTGATATTATCCCTGGAAAATGAGAGAACACTGATAACAAATAGAATGCTGTTAATACTATATTAAACTTTCTTTCTATCCCAGTGAGCAAAGTAATGTTAGTTTTTTTTTTTAAATACGATTTATGGAAACAAAATTGTAAAACAATTAACGATTTATAACCGTTTAGTCTACAACTAGTCTGTCCACTGACCAATATGTCTATTCCTATAATGGTATCCACCAAGCTAGGCTACTATCCACATGGTTCAATAATCATTTTGTCTACATAATATTTGGTGTAACGACCATTTAGGTTATTAGTCATTTGGTCTAACCTCCAACAATTCTACTACCCATTTGGTATATCACTCATTTTGTCTGATATATGCATAGAATCAGATAATCATTTGACTTTATTAGACCACGTGGATAAGTAGACGAAACGGGCATAAGAAAAACTGAAAATGAGACCAAAAGGCAACTAGACCAACTAAATGAATGATAGACCAATGGGTAGTAGACTCGTTGAAGATCACATGGGAGTAGATTACAGTTGGAGGTAGACGCTCTGCTTGTAGATCAAACGGCAACTCACTAATTCAACTGCGCGAAGTAAAGAGTTATGCTCCTGCCCCTGACGCAATATCCCTCAAGTGCAATGTTTTTCATCATACATAAATGTTGACCTGGTGACCCAATCTCCTTTATGAGATTGGTGACTTGGTCGTTTCTCATAAGGTACATTAGAGTTTTAATGAAACTGTAGTGGATAGTTTGTTTAGATATTTACCGCAAATGGCCTTGAACCTTATCCGTCTTCATCATAGCTATAAAAATTATTGCATGTAAAGTAATTATCACGTAGCTTTCACTAACCATTAAACCTGTTCTTGGTCAGATTTGACCCATTTTATAAACTTGATCTCCGCCTTCAAGAGATGTACCTGTGGTATGAATCCCCCCCCCCTCCCCAGAGAAAGTAGTGACCCCCAGTGCTTCCCTAATGACAAAAATATCGTGGCTGTGCTAAAAATGTTCAGACCTCATACACTATGGACAATTGAACATATCCTACGCGACCTGGTAAAACGGTGATAATAATAAAAATTAAAATAAGGAACTGATTATGAATCCCAAGTGAACAAAAGCTAAATCTGTCACAAACATGAGCATAAGAATGGATCTGATATTTTCATCTAAAATCCTCTACTTTCAGGACGTACCCCGGCTACTGCAGAAACGCTTCTATCTCACAAAGGAGGGGAAGTATCCGGACCAAGGTTTGATGATGGGTCGCTTAATATTACTGATGACTACTCTCTCGTCTTTAATAACGTTCAAGCTGGTGATGAAGGCAATTACATATGCAGAGTGTCAAATCATAATGGCTTTCTGATCGTCAATAACACTGATGTCAGGGTGTTAGGTAATTTAAAATTATTTGTTAGGATATTTCAATTTCAAATTGGACGCCTTGTTTGAGGAACTAGAACTATTAGCTGTAAAAGGCGAATTTCAATAACAAGCCCTGGGTTACAATATGCATGTCACACATTAATCTGCTGAACGTTATTCCCTGGCCATTTTTCACATAGGAAAAACATTTCTGACTATTATTCGTACTAGTTTTAGACAATTGTTTTGACAAGGATTAGAGATTACATGTACATACGTCGTTTTGCCGGTATTTAGCGCAAGAGATCATTGGTAGAGCAGTGGTCTCGTTACCTTGGGGTTCTGGGTTCGAAAACGTCGAAACGCTAGTGCATTAAGTAGGTAAAACAATCATACCACCACACAGTCGATTTGGGTGTTTGTTTATTCTTTTTGTTTATAATAAATATCATGAACAGACACATAGGCACCAGCTATTAATCACCAATTGATTAATATGCATTTTGTTGTCGTTGCTGTGACTGAACTACTGAAGAACAACTTCGCATTTTTAACAGTTTTGTATTTTTTGTATGTCGTAGAACATCGTTACCTATACACAGATATACAACTCTGCGGTAACCTCCATTTAGAGTGAATGCATTGCTTACGAGGTTTCTAAAATCAGAACCACAACATCTTTCATTGCCAACTACGAAAAATTTGTCTAACAATGTACAAACTATTTTAAACTGAATCCGGTGAATTATTTCAAATATTGTACCTGTAGATCCGGCTCAAGTGAGCATTTTTACAGAACCAAGCATTACAGGATGGGCCGAGTATTCGGTCAATCTTCAGTGTGCTTTCAAAGACACCCCTCAACGAGTCCTCTGGAACAGAGTCCAAGGTCCAAGTGTCGAAACTGTCCTGAGATACACGTCAGATGGCTACGAGGTGCTGGGAGACAGGAGATATAGTTGGAGCGACAACTACGGACTGATCATAAGGGATCTACGGGTCTTGGACGAAGGGAACTTTACTTGCATGGTTTCTAAGACGGGTGGAACTGAGATTCAAAACACGACGGTCCTGACTGTACATGGTGAGAGATATACCATTCAACAACAAAACGAAATAAAATAAAATTAACCTCAAATTCAAAAACATTGTGCGTCAATTTCTAAAATATGCAACTACGACAACGGCATTGTAAGTACATGTAATCTTGAGATGATGTTTAAAGGCAATAACAAAAAAAGGATTGACAATGCCCTTAGGTTGATTTCCTGAAAGTCTGCAATCGTGGTTAAATGAAGGCGACGATGCGTGAACATTGTTATGAAATTTCTTGAATAATTTATATTTCATCTAAAATCACCCCACCTACAGTCTAGACAATGTGGTCGTGCTTAAAAACAGAAAACATTGTTTAATTAGTTATGTTTACTTTAATTTGAAATAACATAATCGTGTTGATAGAATAAACTATGTCGAGGTTTTTTTCGATTTATTCTCGCGTGCTTTCTTAAACTACGTTTTCAATGAAAGAAATGTCCTGGTTTTTACGCTTTTTTTATAAGATAAAATTTATAACTGGAAAGCCTGAACAATATTTATTCACAAGGGCCTTGATACAACATGTCCCCCTTCTATTTTGTATTCTACCTTATCTCAATCCCGCAATGTAGGTCTCTCAGCCCAGAAGGATCAAGGGGAAATGACTCCATTAACTCTTATCCTGCCACAGGGCTAATTCCCATTGTGCAAAGCCACAAATCTCCCCAGTGCCAAATTTATAACGAGATAATCGGATTAACGCGATGGTTCTACCAATAGCGCGTGCAAAACACTAGGCACAGTCCAATGGGCATGAACAATAACTGCTATTACGAATGCGTGCAATCATGCAAGAAGCAGAGTAACAGTAGCTTGCTCGCGTGTACAAAGCACTATAACAGTAGCGTGCATGCAGCCTTATGGCAGGCTATGAGTTAAAACCCCTCCGAAGATGTAGGCCCTTTTGCGAACAGGACGTTTTCGTAATGTTACCACAATAAATGCATACGTCTTTGGGAAGTGCCTAGGTGGAAACTATTCCATTCACATGTGAATGCAAAATGCATGTATTACGTGTTGTTAGGTAGGGCAAGCTATAACCTGTGTCCTACATAACAACAACACGATGTGTGCATTTCGCATTCTGATTATTGAGATCCAACTATTTGTAACTGTTGAATGAACTATAAATAAATTTGTGTAGAGGCGTTTCACAACGACGTATGCATTAAATGTGTTTACATTACGAAAAAAGGGCATTTAACATTAATATATAGTACCCTTTTACCTTATTCAGCTCGGGCTGAAAGGCCATATCTCCCCATTCTGAAGGATTAGTCCCAACCTGGAGCGATTGGTAAATGACCTGAATATCGTGTATTTATAATTACATTTCTGAGAATGAATTCATGAACTTCCATCTTATGCTTTGTCATTTCGTTCAGCTCGTGCAGAAAAGCCATTCATCCAAATCCCACAGTGTAAGTCTCAACCAGAGAGAGCTACAAATGGCAGAACTCCTAAGTCTTGTCATTACAGTGTGACTGAAGATAAGGATTCATTTGAGCTGCAATGCTCGGTCATACGAGCCAAGCCACAGGTGAATATTCTCTGGCAGGAGGGGTCGCAGAACCTCACTGTATCACCGATAGTCACTCAGAGGAGTGATGGTGCTTTTGACGTGACAGCAACCATAAGCAGAAGGACTAATCAATCCGAGTTCAGATGCATTGCTTCAGGTCTGGCTGTCAATGGAACCGCAGAACGCACTGTGATTGTTAAAATCGTCAAACCTGTACAAGGTAAATGTTGAACACTTGACTGAATATATCTCACTTATTTTCCTACTCTTGTTACCTTTTAATTGTTAATGTCAAATGTATTAATGTAATTAATTTGTGTACCTTTTATATCGTATTTCACATGTTTTATCCTGTTGCAATTTGTATTAATATTATATTTAAATAGCATCGCAATTCGATATGTGACTGCTAGTCATGTTTTGAAAACCTTTAATCGGATAATGGCATTGGTATCGGTAGTTTGGCGCTTGCCCCAGTCATAAACAACAAAGGGTCTTTTAGTCTTAGGCCTATGGATGATAATTTGTTCGTTCCCTTAAGGTATCGGGACAGTTGCTTTATACGTCCGCCTCACAACCGGGAGGTCGTGGGTTCGAACCCCGGCCGCGTAATACCAAAAGACGTTACAGGATGGGAGTTGCTGCTACCTTGTTTGGCGTTCAACAATAAGGGATAGAGCAACGTCGATCTGGCGCTGCTCAGAGGCTGCCGGGCTCACAATCAATTGGGCAAAAAGAATTTCCGTTTCGGTTTAATAAAATTTGGAGTGGACTAAAAGATTATTATTATCATTATAAAGCACTATACCAAATCAGAGACATATCAGTAGTAACATCATCTTTCATCAAATGGTCCATTACTTAACACGTGGAAAGTATTCAAAAGCAATTAAGCTTTATTACAGCCAATTTATGAAGTACATACCATAAGCTGAATAAAATGCTGGACATGTGTTGTATTTGAAACAGTAGAATATTGGGGTTTCGTGGTATCAGATTGTTGCAAATTTATTATCTCATCAAGAAGTGCGCAATCAACTATTTGAGGGTAGTTGTAAATATTCGCAAGATAGCATGATCTATCTTTTCGTTCTCCGAATTTTGAAATCATTTTCCCTAACGCGGTGAACAATAGAAGACTGTAATTTATCTTGTTTTGTTGTCATTTATCTTTAGAATCTTTACCAGGTGGATACATCTTCCTTATTCTCCTTCTTATCGTGGCTACTTCCGCTTTTCTGGTCTTTGTCGTGTTTAGAGTGTGGAAGTATCACAAGCTTCAAACCCAACCAGGTATTCTTTAACGCCTTCTTCAGTCGGTCATGACGGAATATGATTTTTTTTTTCTCCTTTACGACAATGATTTATATGCTCTCAGATGCTTCATTATCAATGTATTTACAATTCGTATCTGCCCGAATGCCTACACCCAATTCTTCGAGTTGCTTAAATATTTATTTTAAATGACACTAAAGTTTGGATTCAATAGAGATAGAGATTAAATCTCAATAATTATGAGAAGGATTTCCTTAAATTGACTCGATAACATTGTTGAAGGTTGATGAAAAAATTGCTTAATTTTTGTATAAAATGTTACTTACTTAATTCCTTTTACTGTACTAACTCTCTGACATGCAAAAACTCCTGAGAAAATTCTCAAACCAGGAAGATATCTATGGTTTTCTTTGAAGGCGTCAATGTACGACACGCTCTAACAGTGATTAACAGTGATTAACAGTAAATTCTCCCAACCATTTTTGAATTTTCCGAACCGTTTTTCCATGAAAAAAAGACATGAAACAGGCTATAAAAAAAATCTGTCAACACTTAAATGTCTGGAATGAAATGTAGAGCCACTTTATTGCTTTGTGACGATTAACATTCACCTAAAATGTAATTAAATTGTAATACTATAGTTGGGAGAATTAAAGAATCGATCAGATCAGTTTTTCCCAATTTGTACCATGAATAAAGATTCGTTTTCACTCAAATTTTCAGATTATCTTTAATTGTACATCTAGCATTAAAGTCACTACCTTAGTACCACTATCTCTCATCTGAACAATGTAACCAAGTCCCTTTAAGGGATTTTTTGTATTGTTTTATTTCATATAGATTGCCCTATTGACAACCAGGCATCCGTTGAGTCTCAAGAAAATGCTAACGTTCGGACCAGACGTGGGTTTAAATTGATCATGACGAAAGGTATTTTGTGCACTATCTTTATATTCATTGTGGCCTCTATTGAAGAAGTGTCGTAATGACTGGTTTAATCACTTGGTTGGAAATGCAAAGGTCGAGGGTTCGAGCCTCGGCACGCTAGCTTATATATCTATCTTTAAGCAAGGCGTTTGTTTATACATTGCTCCTCTCTACCCATGTACTAAATGTGCACCTGGTAGGAAGCGAACGTCATTTCGGTTGGATCAGCATGTACACGCCCGTAAACGAACAATTAGGTGGAAAGCTCCACAGGGAGTGGATAATGTGCACTATTTTTTTGTTTGTTTTATTTCCGAAAATCATCATAAAAAACAATAACACAATATAACAAAATCAAAGACTTATATAACAATGATAGAATGATAAAACGGTTGGATAGTCCATTTCAGAGCCATTAACCTAATGGCTCTGTTCTTCCATGGAGTCCAATATATATATAATGATACTATAATAAGCAATGATATAACAAAATAGTAAGTCGTAATTAAAAATATTTTTAAAAAAAAACAACAACATTGTACTTGTACCTAACTTAACTAAATCAAATTAAATTAAATTAAACAAAAAACACTAACAAAAAGCATTAAAATCTATTCAAATATCCCCTACCATCCCTAATTTAACAAAATACGACCCCACCCTTATCACCCACCCTGCTAACAATTAACTTGATTAGTTTTAAAATATTCTACACATTATCTAATTTAGTCTGTTATTAAATTGGTTATGTTTATGGCAAAAGCCAATGGGATTGCGAAATTTAAATATCAAAATAATTGAAGTATTTTTGAACATGTTTATTAAACAAATTTAGTGTGCCTAACTGACGGAGCTTAATAGGTAGTTCATTGTATAACACGGATCCCCGATATAAGAATGTACGTTTACACTGATTGGTTCTTGGTTTCGGAAGCATTAAATTGTCATTATATCTTAGCCCGTAACACTTTTCGTTAAATACAAATTTATCAGTCATATATTTAGGTGCTAGCTCATGAAATGTTTTAAACAGTAACGAACACATACGTCTCCGACGTCGAGATTTTAGGGTTTCCCAATCCAAGGTATCGTGAATCTGCTGAATAGATATATGTTCACCAGGTTTAACCTGAAGAATAATTCTTCCTGCTCGATTCTGAAGTTTCTGAAGTTGATCAAAATGATTATTATTTGCAGTTTGCCAAACAGTATCTGCATAGTCAAAGTGAGGCATAATTACAGATGAATAAATTAGTTTCAGATTTGACTCATTAATAAAATACCTCAATCTCCTCAAGAAACCAATCATTTTCCCAATTTTTTTGTTCAATTGCTCTATATGAATATTCCACTTAAGTTCACAATCTACATTTACTCCAAGATATTTGAAACATTTTACTTGAATTAGCTTAGTGGCATTTATCTCTAAATTGAGAATATCATGCTTAGAAAGCATAAACTTTGTCCCTAAAAGCATGCATACTGTTTTACTAGAGTTCACAGAGAGTCTATTTGCATTCATCCAAGATTGTAGATGTCCTAGCTCTTCGTTTAAAACTGATTGAATCACATCTACATCTTTGTGGGAATAATACATAACCGTGTCGTCGGCATAAAAGTGCAAATTGCATTTCGTGAAAGACCTAGGCAGATCGTTTATAAAAATTAAAAATAGCAGTGGCCCCAGTATTGAACCCTGAGGTACGCCGTAATCAAGGGATAATTCCTCTGACAATGTTTGTCCTATGGAAGTTCTAATACGCCTTTTCATTAGATAATCCTGAAACCATCTTAATGAGGTACCTTGTACTCCAATATCATAAAGTTTTTTAATTAGAATTTGGTGATTGACAGTATCAAATGCCTTATGTAAATCGACAAAGACACACCCAGTATATTTCCCTTGATCAATTGCTTCAAGCCATTCATCAGTTACTTTAATAAGTGCAGTAGTTGTGGAATGTTTCGATCTAAAGCCCGATTGCTCCTTCACTAATACATCATTGTCATTCAAGTAATTAAGTAATTGTTTTTGAACAACCCTCTCCAAAAGTTTCGAAACACAGGGCAGTAATGATATTGGCCTGTAATTATCTGGCTGACATTTGTCACCTTTTTTGTGCAATGGTATAATTTTTGCAATCTTCCACTGGCGAGGAACTACCCCATCAGTTATTGACTTATTAATAAGGTATGCTATAATTCTAAAGATTTCTGTTGCACAAGTTTTCAATATGTAAGAACTGATCCCATCCAAACCAACCGATTTCTTATTCTTTCTATAATGTGCAGAATAGTAACTAAATGCAGTGACCGGAGTAAAAATAAAAAACTATAAGCGCTTTCGTCAGTTATTCGAAAAGCACTTTCTAAAAACAGATATTTTTATTAGTATGATTATTATAATTATTCTTATTATATAAATTTTATTATCATTGATATTATTATTATTATTATTATTATTATTTTTATTATATCTTTTTTTAAATGTCATCCGTTAAAAGGCCCCTCAACCTCAAAAATAAGGGAAAATGAGATGTACTTCTGCCCTTTAAAGGTACTATGTCCCTTTTGCAGCCCAACTCAAATTCTGTAGAACTTTGCAGGAATTATGAATATGCCATGTATGTCCTATCTGTGAAATTTAAACGTTAGCAGTGTCCTCATATTCAAATTATGCAAGGAAACCCGTTTACTTGCTAGACTTCACTGTCAGACACTGAAAGGTGACTGAAATGCTTCTTTACCTCACACATCCGAGAAGGAAGCATCCATTGAGTAGAATACATTTACTTAATAAACGACTTCACATAACGTCAAGTCATCAAGAAAAGAGCAATGCCCATGTCGTTTTGAGAAACTGTTCATTATTCTCGATGTATGCCTCGTGGGTAATCTTGTAGATTAAGAGGCAAGAATATAATAAATCTCTCAGAATAAATAAAGTTATTTCTTGGGGTGAGGTTGGGCCTACAATGATTTTGATAAGCAGGATGATCGTATTAAACGTACAAATGTTCAATCATCCAAATCAAACTGAGCCCATAAACATTGACCAATGATTTGACATTGTCAACATGTTTAATACTTTTATTCACTCTTAAGAAAAAAACATTTCCAATTAGGTCTTTGCTGTAGTTTTGAATTGTAGTATGACAAACAAATACATCAACAAATATTTTTTTAACCCCCCCCCCCCCCCCCCCCCAGGCCGCGCATCACAAAGTCACAATATCGCTCAGGATTGTAATACAACTTGTCTTTCCCTTAAAAAGATATCACCTAATTTCTCAGATGTTTCAAATTCTCTGTCACGTCAAATAAACTAACCTGTAAGATATTTTGTACAAATTTTAGTAGATTAGTTTGCAGTGTTAACAAAAATGTCTGGAATGAATATGCACTTCATAAATGAGCATGGATTGAGAGATTCGTAATAGAAGATCAGTTGCAGTGTTAACAAATAATCGTAAATCATATCTGTTATCCCTTATAAATGTGTATTATCATTATTATTATTTATTATTATTATAATCATCATCAGCATAATCATCATTATCTATTTGTTAAATTACTTCTTCAGACTGTGTTTCCTGGGTATTCGGTTGCAAGAAACAGAAGGATGGAACTCACGATAATGGTGAAAAACAACCACTGAGTAAGTACTTACGTTCCGTCTGTTGATTGATTCGTCTTCGTTTGCATCTAAATTGACAAATGAAGGTTGGAGAACCCATGTCGTGCTGAGAAAATGTACATTATGTTAAGAATATCTTGCTTCATAACATCTCTCATACACTTGTAGATTATCGGCAAGAATATAGCTAAAGTTATCTCTTGGGGTGGGGTTTCGTTTAAGATTGGAGGGTAGTAGTTACTCTAGATTTCTATTCCAGAAGCTTTAATCCCTCATCCCCGATAAAAAAAAAAATGAAACAAAAATATAAAATAATTTTCATTATTCAAATCAACGATAAATCTGTTTTCCTATATTTTTTTCAGACGAGGTAGAGACTGAGTTGGGGAAGCTTAGAGAGAAGCTGACAAGTTACAGACCTGGGAAGACCACGGGGATGTCAGGTGTTGACATAACTGACTCGTCGATACATATCGGACTTTTCGGTGTCATGGGTGCAGGGAAATCCTCCTTCATCAATTCACTGAACTTCGCTTTCACAAGTAAGTAAAACCATAAGTGACCCAAAATACAAAACCACTCCGAATCGCCAGAAATATTAATTTTAACTTAAATATCATCACAAACGTAGAGATTCTCAGCTTTATAACTTTATATAGCTTATTACATTTGGATTATGTTCTAACCCACAATTCTACAAAAGTAGAAGAATGTCCAGTCCCAAAGAATGTTATTTTAGACAAGAAAAACAAAGTTTGTGGTCTTTTTAAAGCTCTCTGATTCCGGAGGCATTGTGCAAGGTGACACGAAGGGGATAAGAACCTTAAAAATAAAAAAGATTAGTTGTAGAGATTACCAGATGTTACGATATCCGATATATCCGGTATCCGTCGTAGTTCAATAAACATGGTCACCATCATCACAAACCTGACTGCCGACTCGTCTATTATCATGAGTATCTACCAAATCTAAGACCCTCGAACTCATCATGGTGGCAGCTGCTGGGATCTTCGAAATCAAGTTTGATTTTTGAAGACACAATTGATCCAGTTCACGACAGTTGGGAAGTATAATTAGCAAAATTATCGTCGATTAGCGATTTGTCACGTCGCACTTTTTCGTATGCATAGTACGTGCATCGTACATACCGCACAGTGTACCGAGACACTGATGCTACTGCATAATCCCGATGAACTCGTACGTGAATGGTGATGTGTGTATGAGCATATAAAGGTTCATAAAGCCTGCTCAGAATAGCCTAATCAAGTTATAACTGTGCTCAATCACTGACACAGGGGTCTGCATAATAACTTAACTAGTAAAGTTTAAATCTAAAATTAAACTAAATCAGAGGTGTGAACATTAAACCTGTTTTCAGATAATATTAACAATAATATCTGGTGTGCGAGGAATTGTCACTGTCGGACATATTGAGTGAGAGTGATCAACATTTTCATTGCATGAGACACCTAATGACATTCACACAGGTGTGAGAGCGTACACAGGTTTACGTGTACGAACCTTATCAACACCAGCCGGTTAGGACCTGTTCACACTAAGATAAACAACACAAAGATTTACACTCATTCATATAATCTGTCGTAACCAATACGCACACGTGACATATACAATGAGTACTAAGTATCCAGAGATGAACTGGGAGGTACCAGACCTACCCGAAGAGTTCAAGCTATTTAAGCAGAGAATGGAGCTTGTGTTGGCAGATCAAGAAATAACTGAAAACAAAAAAAAGGCTATACAAATCAAAATCGCTGTAGGCAACGAAGGTTTGCGCAGAATCAATGCGTCTGGGCTATCAGAGGCCGACCAAGAAAAACCACAAGAGCTGTGGAAATTATTTGAGAAACAAATAAAGGTAAACATTAATTTTCGGGTCCATCGTCTCGAGCTGATGCGATATCGGCAGAGACAAGATGAGAGCATTGACGCATTCGTTACTCGATGTAGAGACAAAGCCAACACATGCGATTTTGAGGAATTCGAGCTTGCCGAGCGGATAATGGAGGTAGTCATCACCTCAACACCAAGTCTAGAATTCCAGAAATTCCTATTGGACCAGCCTAAAGGATATCTAATCGAAGCAATTCTTGTAGAGGGTCGAGAATACGAGGCAGTTGCGGCGAGCAGAAAATGCCTAGAAACGCTTGAGCCGGCTAAAGAAAGCATAGATTCATTCAAGCGGAACCAGGGACGAAAGACGTGTGGAAACTGTGGACGTATCCACAAACCTCGTCAGTGCCCTGCGTACCACGATGTGTGTCGTGCCTGTGACACAAAGGGCCATTGGGCCAAGTTCTGTAAAAAGGCTAAGAACGATCGAAGTCGAAAACCAGATCGTAGATCAGATGACCATAAATCTGATGACCGTCAACCGAAACACGGTAACCAATCACGATCAAAATCAAAGGGTCGAAAGTATAAACCGATAAGTGAAATGGACACTGAACATGATACTAGCACAGATCATGAACATCAACAATCAGCAGGTCCATCAAACTTCGAACATTTTGACACCATACACACGATCGGAACACACACAGTGATCAACTCAAAGGGTACAGTAGCTTTTGCAAACATTGACATCATATGCCCACAGAAATCAGGTCAGCATTACCTATATCTGAAGATAGACTCTGGGGCAAGCGCTAATACTATCACAGTACGCACAGCCAAACAAATATATGGTGACAAGTGGAGGCAAGTAGTGAAACGTACACCAGTAAAGCTAGTAGCATATGGCGAAATATCAATACCATGCGTTGGTACACTAGACATAAAGTGTAGATACAAGAGTCCAGAATGGTATACACATACATTCTACGTAGCAGACGTGAATGGACCAGCTATCTTAGGGTTGTTAGGTTGCACAGATCTCGGGATTATCACAATCCACACAATGCACGAGGACACACCTACACATACACCTATCACAAGTGTTAGTGACCTCAAACAAACATACCCAGATCAGTTTGATGCCATAGGAAGCTTTAGCGGGAAAGCAATGCTGCATCTGAAAGATGATGCAGAGCCAACCATAGATGCACCTAGAAAGTGCAGTGTCCATCTGAAGGACAAGATCAAAGCCGAACTAGATAACATGGAGAAGCAAGGAGTCATCAGAAAGATAGAAAACCACACAGATTGGTGTAGCTCGATGACCACCGTTGTGAAGAAAGATGGATCCATACGGATATGTCTTGACCCCAGAAGGTTGAACGATGCCTTGAAAAGGTGTCCACACAAAATTCCAACCTTGGAAGAAATCCAACCAATTTTCGCAGGAGCTCAATTCTTCTCCAAGCTAGCCGCAAAGGCTGGATACTGGTCAGTACACCTAGCAGAGGAATGCCAAGACCTGACCACCTTCAGAACACCATTTGGAAGATATTGTTTCCAAAGATTACCCTTCGGCTTATGCACAAGCCAAGACATCTTCCAGCAACACATGGATAGGATCGTCCAGAATGTGCCTGGCTGCGTATGTATCGCAGACGACATTGCCATTGTCGGGAAAACAGAGGAGGAACACGACAAGAATCTCCACTTACTCATGGAGACAGCGAAACAGGAAGGACTCGTGTTCAACAGCTCCAAGTGTACTATCAAGAAGGAAGCTATCAGCTACTTTGGATCCATGTACACAAGATCTGGAATCTTCCCAGATCCAAGCAAGGTTGAAGCTATCAACACAATGCCTTCACCCAAGGACAAGGAAGATGTTCAGAGATGCCTAGGATTATTCACATACCTAGCACCATACATTTCTAATCTATCAGAGAAGTCAGCACCACTTCGTGAACTCCTTCACAAGGAAATTCCATTCGTCTGGGACGAGGATCATGAACATGCCTTAAACAGCCTGAAAAGCGCAGTCTCATCGGGTGCATGCCTGCAGTTCTTTGACCCAAAGAAAGAGACAACCGTTGAGGTAGATGCATCAATGAAAGGGCTGGGAGCATGCCTGCTCCAAGATGGCAAACCCGTAGCTTTTGCATCCAAAAGTCTCTCCAATGCACAGTCCAACTACTCGAACATAGAGAGGGAAACCTTAGCCCTAGTGTTTGGTATCGTCCGATTCCATACATACCTATTCGGGAAGGAATTCACTGTGATAACAGATCACAGGCCTTTGGAGACAATTTGGAAGAAACCTCTAAGAAGCGCACCACCTCGTCTACAGAGACTATTGATCAAGGTACAAGGATACAGATGCCAAGTCAAGTACCGACCTGGGAAAGAAATGATTCTTTCAGATACCTTGAGCCGTCTTCCTAACCCCAAGGAAGCACGCGATGTTCCACTAGACATCAGAGCGGAATCAATCTGCTCCGAAGTAGAAGACACTCATCAAATCGACTTGATCTTCTTCGGACAACACAAGAGAACAGAACTCCAGAGGGAAACATCCAATGACCCTGTTCTTAGGTCATTGTGGCAGACAGTCACTCAGGGTTGGCCTGAAACTCTTCAGGAGCTGCCGACATCCCTCAGGGAATTCTGGTCTTACAGAGATGAGATTGGAGTATCTCAAGGAGTACTCTTCAAAGGAAGCAGAGTCATCATACCGAAGACACTTCGAGAAGATATCCTCAGACAACTTCATCTTGGACACATGGGAATCGAGAGCACGAGACGACTAGCTCGTGAGACAGTGTTCTGGCCACACATCAACAAGGACATTGAACAGATCGTAAAGCAATGTGCTGCATGCCAGGAACACCAGGCAAGGCAACAGAAAGAGCCGTTGCTTCCCCATGATGTACCTTCAGCACCTTGGACTAGACTAGGAACAGATTTGTTCATGCTAAACAGACAAGACTATTTACTCGTCACTGACTATTACTCCAAGTATCCGATAGTCTACAAGCTGACTGACACATCAAGTGCTGCAGTAGCCAACGTGATGAGTGAAATCTTCAGTCTATTTGGTCCACCAGAGGAGATCGTATCCGACAACGGTCCACAATTTGTCGGGAAGCACTTCAAGGACATGTGCCGGAAGTGGTCGATCACCCATACAACCTCTTCACCTCACTATCCAAGATCCAACGGACTAGCTGAGAGAATGGTTCGTACCGTCAAGAATCTGTTGAAAAAGTGTTCACAGACTGGCCAAGACAGTCAACTGGCTATGTCACACCTAAGAGCAACACCCGTTGACAGTCACATGAGATCACCTGCAGAGATGTTGTTTGGAAGACCCATCAGAACAACACTGCCAAGTCATCATCTTTCAAGAGAATCTACCACCACTGATCATCTCTTGAATCGACAGAGTAAGATGAAAGAAACGCACGATCGACATGCGGGTCCAGATCTTCCACCACTCCACGTAGGACAACCAGTCAGAGTCCTACATCCCAAAGATCATACTTGGATACCAGCCAAAGTATCCAAAGTCTGCGACGAGCCTAGGTCGTATGAAGTATCAACACCTAACGGAGGAATCCTGAGACGAAACCGATCTCACCTGAGGGAGATTCCATCGTCAACCAACCCTACTCCAAAGCGTGTTAGGTTCGACGAAGACTACACTTCATCTACTCAAGCAGAAACACCACAACAGAATGGCAACAACCATCAGCCAACACCAGAAACTCAGAACATTCAATCTAAAGGACCAACATCAAACTCGCAAACCACAACAAGATATGGACGCAACATCCGTACACCAGCGAGATACATGTTTGAAGATTGAAACTGAACTCTTAAATTTCTTCAAAGAAGAGAGAAGATAAAGAAGAACACAGAAGACGCTTAGTTTAATGTAGTCTAAGAAGTTTATTGTTCATATGTATGTATAATCATTGTACAGTATTTTTGGTATGACAAGCATAATGTTTATAAGTCTAAACAGATGCTAGCCCAAACATGTTTCGTTTGGAAATTCATTTTATAAAGGAATCAAGTTATATCAAAACTATGTTCAATCTTGCAGATCAACTGTGAAGTTGAAAGTGGAACGATATAATTATATAGACAGTTAAATACTCATTCGTTAATAAAATACAAAAGAAACGTATTGAAAACAAATCAAGATTTTATGTTATATAACCTGATTGGAAAAAGTTTATTAGGAAGCAAATAACCAAAACTTGCATACTACCAAAAGTATTGTTATCAAAGCAATATGTCATTAATCATCGATCAGTGATGTTCACTGATTCCCAATCTTTCCAGAGGAAGGGGGATGTTACGATATACGATATCCGATATATCCGGTATCCGTCGTAGTTCAATAAACATGGTCACCATCATCACAAACCTGACTGCCGACTCGTCTATTATCATGAGTATCTACCAAATCTAAGACCCTCGAACTCATCACCAGATAGCCTTAAGATTTGGCGTGCAAAATAAGCACATCCTGTTCTACATTCTCACTAGGTTTCAATGCAACGTCTTACTCTGTTTCATATTCATATGAGTTGAAAATGAGACAAGAGGTCAGAGTCATAGAAAAACTAAAACTACTCCAACAAACTCAATATCAGACAGATATTGACACAAAACACTGCCAATATACCACTTTGTCATTGCTTGTTGGTTCCAAATTTTTAAGTTAAACAGAAGAAAGTATACTCTTTCAGAAAATGCGAAGAACTGATTATCTTTCACTTTATTACAGATGGTTATTAGGCAAAGGTCGACAGGACATAATTAAATCGTATTATAGGATTTTCTGATGCGCGATAGAATGCCTTTTATGCAATGTCGATAGGATGTTATTTTTATTCTACACATCTGGCTTCCTATAGTTTATTTATGCGGGATACATAGATATGGACAAAAAGACATCTAATATAGTTAGTAGACCAGCAATTGGTAAAAATGACCACAAATATTAACATATTTTGTGTGCATTTTAAAATAATCGCTGAGAAAGTGACGGAGATGTTTCATGAATACCTTTCAATTGCACCATTGAGAAGAATACTTCCACCTGTGTCTGATAAAATTAACTGTCCATGCACAAATTAATAACGACTACATAACTTTCATGAACGTATCCAGGATTCGTCTCGATTGGGTTTACATTTTTGTACAAGTGACTTTTATCTGCTCGTGCGAAGATAGTATCTACAAACTGCCTAATAACGATGTACTTCACATTCCACTATCCATGGTATGCTATAATGATTCATCATAGACATGAGGTTGATTTTAATTTTGAAAATGGCGTCTTAAATTGATCAGTGCCGAAGATAGGGGCACGTTCCCCTCACCCAATGCCTGGTGCGACCCTCTCCCCCAACCCTCCCCTCACTTGAAGCGGCGTCCACCTTGATATTCTGGAGTCCTAAAGCTTCATTCAGATATGACGCGGTAAACCGCGATGGCTTCTTGTGGTGACGTGAGTGTAATATACACTTCTTGTGGTGATGTGAGTGTAATATACGCTTCTTGTTTCTCTATCAATACAGCAGTAAGGGAATACGCACTGACCTTTTTGTACGCATTTACAAATCATTTATTCATAAGAAGAAAAAACGCAGCGTGTTTTGTTGTTTTTTTTTTTCTTTCTTTTTGCGATTCATATCTGAACAAGACTGTAGAATTCATGAACCGAGTAAATGATTAGACAGGTACTTACCAATTTACTCCTAGATCTTTGGGTTAGAATCGATTATCATTTTGTAATTCCTTTCCTCTGTTAGACGAGATAATAAAACTAAATATACACTGTTGGTCATAATGGTGGAATATTTTGTTTTACCCCGATTTATGGAAAGATTTTAAGAATGATTTATACCTACTTGATCTAGATAATAGTATACATTCTCAGATTTTATTGAATAATAATTTGTGAGTGTGTGTTTTGCGTGACTGCTAAAGTATGTGTATGCTATTATGCTAATCTACTAGGAGACCTACGTTCTTAAGTCATTACTGACAGTAATGAGCAATAATGCCTCATAAGAGGGCACTAATAAAGCATATCGACACTGTTTTGATCCTGGGGGCTCACAGTAAGGAGGCCATTGCTTAGCCACTGAATCATGACTGTACGGTGCGGGGGCTAGGGTACGTCGCCGCCCCCACAAATACAAAAAAAACAAAGAAAATGCAATAAATTTTCAATAATTCATTGCATTTTGCCCCGACCCCTAAGATAACAAATCCACTATGTGGGCATGCCTTGACCCATAATGCATTGCCCTACATAGGAATTTTTAATGTTGGGGACCGGGGGAAAATGCAATAAATTATTGATCATTTATTGCATTTTCTTTTTTCTTTTTTTGTATTTGTGGGGGCGGCGACGTACCCTAGCCATCGCTGCGTACAGTCATGATTCAGTGGCTAAGCAATGGCCTCGTAACTGTGAGGCTCCAAAATCAAAACCGTGTCGATATGCTATATTAGTGCCCATTTGTAACGCATTAATCCTTATTACTGTCAGTTATGATTTAAGGACGTAGTTTTCCTAGTTGATTAGCATAGTAGCAAACACATGCTCTAGCAGTTACAAAAAACAAACACTCGCAAATTATTATTCAATACAATCTGAGAATGTATACTATTATCTAGATCTATTAGGAATAAATCTTTGTCAAAATCATCCCATAAATTGGAGTAAAAAAAAATATTCCACCATTATGACCAACAGTGTATATTCTTATTTGAATATATCTGTGGAGTGGAGTACCACCGATTGATAATTGATTTATCTTTGATTAAAATCCGTTATAATTCAAGATAATTATCTGATCTCCTTGTTAACTCAATATCTTTCCACATCAGATGAGTATAAGGATGTTGCTATCGAAGCCGGTAATACAGCAGGTGGTAGTCAAACCAAGTTCAGGGAACCGATACAGCTAACAGATCACATACACATTGTTGACAATCGAGGATTGAAGGATTTCTCACCGGAACAAATCGAGAGAGACTTGATGCCTCAGATTCGTGAGTAACAATTCGTATTTATTGTCTGTCGTTTATTTCTGATGTGAAGACTTCGACATGCGTGCATCTATACACAGATATTATCGCTTTATCTCGATCGTTTTTCTTTTCACAAGCTTTGTTTGGCTTCATGTGATACATTGGATGTCGAAGTCAAGTGGTTTAATAACTTGACTGGGAATACAAAAGTCGTGGGCTCGAGCACCGGCACGGCGCTTATTTCATTGAGCAAAACATTTTATCTACTTTGCTCATCTCCTCCCAGGTGTTAAATGGGTACCCAGCAGGGTGCAAACGTCTCTTTGGTTGGATTAGCTTGTGCACGCCCGTACAAATGCAAGTAGCCTGAGAGCTCCCCTGGCGAATGTGCATTGTAATGTGCAGAATCGTATTTGTATCCAATGACCGGAATCATAATACTATTATGAGGTATCTTGGCCTGTTAGGACTTTCACCATTCTATCTTTAACATACATGTTACTCTCATTTTTGATTTTTTCCTAACAAGTGGGGAAACGAGGACTTAAACCTAAGGACAAGGTAAAGGAAGGAACTGGAAAACAGATCCACTGCCCTGTATTCGTGTGCAATCTAAGGTAACGAACGTAAATTATTTTCTTGACTTTCAATTTGTTGATGATAAATTTGTTAATATTCGTTGCACGGAAACCTTGACAAGATTGCTGTAAATCCTAGTGACAGAAACCTTGTTAAGAAGCATTTTGTGAAATTAATTTTATTTCACAAAATGTAGGTTATCCGTCACTAAAAATTAGATTGAAAGTCACAAATGGTATCACTTCTGAAGTTCGGTTAGGTTTAGTTTTGTTTTGTTTTGTGCCCGTGAGAAGACATAGCAGTAGTTAAAGTAGTAGAAGTAGTATAGTAGTAGTAATATAAACAGCAGCAGCACTAGTAGTATAGTAGTAGAAGTCGTGGTAGTAGAAGTATCATTATTAGTAGTAGTCGTAGTAGTAGTCGTGGTAGTAGTGTTAGTTGTAGTAGTAGTAGTGTTATTAGTAGTATAGTAGTAGAAGTCGTTGTAGTAGTAGTAGCCGTAGTAGGATTAGTTGTAGTAGTAAAAGTCATATAAATAATAGTAGTGGTGGCAGTAGAAGTAGCAGTAGTAGTTACATTAGCAGTAGCAGTCTCATGGTAATAGCAGTAAAATAAATAGAAGTCGTAGTAGTAATGATTATTATAGGAATATCGATACACTTTACGAAAGAAGTGTGAGCATGCTGTTATTTCTACTAATCAATTACCATTTATACAATCGGTAATTAAATTATTGTGCAATATGATTTAACCCTATGCAGCCGTTTTGAACAGACACTTAAAGGATTGAATTTTATCTAATTTAAGGTCCTGTTTTCCTCTTTTGTATTAATACAGTCAACCGGTTGGTCCTGCGTCTACGCTGAAATTTATCGGAGAATTTTCTGACAAAGTTAATGATCATTTTGGTAAGTGACCGTTCAGATCTTGATCAGGAGGCATTCTTGATGGATACTGGACTGACAAATTCGAGATTTAATCGTTACTCGACCTGCTTGTACGCGCGTCGACTTCTATCAATCACGGAAGTATTCCGCGCGTTTAGAGTACATATTGAGAGAGATAGAGCAATGGAAAAGGACAGTAGGCTGTGGTGATGAAAGGCAAATTTGGCTAAGAAAATGGCATCTTAAATGTATCAGATGAAAGGCGTGATGATGTACTATTGGTCGCGTGTAATTACCCCCCCCCCCCTTTTCCCTGTCAATCGAAAATTAATGATATCTTCATTTATCACCAACCAAACGTCCAAATGGACTTTGCAACGATATTAAGGTAATATTACTTTTCAGCGCAAAACAAGTGAAGGGCCTCTGGTATTCCAATTGTATAATTGTTAAAAAGGGCAATCCAACTTTTGTAATAAGTTTAATTGTATGAAAGCGGAAAATGAAATAAACAGAATGGCGAAAGTCTGAAATGAATCGGACCTATTATAAGAATGTTACAAATGTTTTAAATATGATATCATTTAGTCTATGCGAATCTGAAATTGGCAGTTTGGCCAGTGGGCTGTGACAAAGTCGCGAATACCTCTTCCGTTTGTCGTGTACACAAATATCCTCAATTTCTTTCTTTTTTCCTAATTATCTTCTCCGTTGGGGCACTGCTCGAAATATAAATGCCTGAGTCACACATATTTGAAACATTGTAAAGGAAGGGATAAGGCTAGATAGAGAAAACAAATTAATATATATTTGTCATGATGTAGGTAATGATATGTTTTAAGACACCTCAATTCTTTAGTGATTATCTTTAAATGTACATCTTCGGGCTAATATAAAGAATACCTCAGCAGGTTGTTTATACTGCAAGGATTCAAAATAAATCTAAATAGATAATTAAAAATCCATAGATTTTTTTTTTCTTAACATAATGTTATGTATGTTTCGTTTGTATAGGTCGTAACGCAATGGTTGTCGTCACTCATAAGGGGGAACTGAATGACTCTGCAGAAACATACGGAAGCGTTGAGGATGTAGTGCGTTTGATTAAAGATCAAGGTGGTGTTCCCAGGAATTCCATATGGACATTCGAAAACTATACTGAAGATTGTCACGCTCACGATGCAATGAAAAGTATTGAATATTTGAAGTTTCTGTCCACGTGCTTGGAGATAGGAGAGAGAAATATCAGATTTCAGTTGGAAAAAGAAGCTGAGCAGCCAATTAAAAGAAAAAGCCTTTTCAAAACATCCCGCTAAAGCATTAATACTAGTAGTGAGTATTCATTATTGTTCGAGATATTCACCTTTACTAAACGGAAGGAGGCTCTTCTTCATAGCACCACTTTGTAATGTCAGATTACAATGCTTGTTTGTTTGTTTATACCTTAATAATTGATTTGATTAGTACTTAATATTAATAATATAGTTTCATAATGTAGATATGAATAGCTTTTATAATAACACGGACAATGATATTTTTGTATATATTATTATTTGGTAATCAAAAAATGTTTATGAAATAACCTGTATAATTGAAAACCGTGCTCGTTGTCTTTCTCGAATCTTTGTTTGATCTTGCAGTTCAGCTGAAATCATAACCTATTTATAAATAACATCTTCGAAGAACTTTTTGGATTTATCTGAATGTTTACGTAGTCATGTAAAGTCTTTTGATTGATGAAGGATCTAGGGGCACGGGAGCACATAAGAAATATTGCAAGTAGACATAAGTTCAACAACATAATGTGCCCTAAAGTTTTGGCATACATGTGTGACCCACAACTGGTACTACTACTCTTACCCCCAAAAAGCGACCCCCTCCCCAACAAAATGTGTTTCGGGGGAGGGGGGGTGTTTTCCGACAAAATTATTCACTTCAATTCAATACAATTTAGTATTTATTGTCCATTTCTGGATATTTGATTTTCACTGGTGTAACATGCACAGATTAACATTTACTAATGAATTACAAAAATGTAGACATTAACAGTAAATAAACAAGGTTTAACATAAAGCACAAATTAACAGAGGATCTAATGTTGTTTTATAAACACCCATTATAAAACAACATTGGATCCTCTGTTAATTTTTGTCAGAAAATGTTCAGTAGGAAGGACCTTGCTTACTTAGTTGTTTATGAGAAAAAGTTCAGACATGTGCCTTCCTGCCCTAAAATCCTGGATCCGCCATTACTGTTGCTATAAGCCAGTTCGTAGATTATATCTGCGCATGAGCAGATAAAGGTCATTTGTACATAATTGTACCCACCCCCCCCCCCCATACAGTATGTTTCGATATTTTTCACCAAGCGTCAGTCGATGAGGAAAAAAATTATCTTCATCTGGCAGAGGATCTAAGTAATTAAAATGTACCATATTGGAAATAATCATTTATTGCAAAGAGGCAAAACAAAATTATTCCAACGTTATGGACAACAGTGTATATACGGTACATGTACATGTTTATATACATCCTTTTAAAGAAAAGGTTGTTGACACCTATATGGGTGAAACAATATTTCGCTCATAGGGCTCCTTACTAGGCATTCAAACTGCCTCAGGTTAATGTTTGGAAAGTCTTTACTGTCGCGTTCATAATAATAACAAATATGTTATATGACGGCTACTCCGAGTATCGATGTTCATGTATATAATTTACTACTTGTAAAGTAGAATCGTATGTTATTATGTATCGCTCACATAACTTTGAAAAACTTTACCTTCAGTTCATATAATTGGTAAAGTATAATGTGTTCATGGCCATTACATTTTTTTTAATGAGAGATTCCACAATAACCCAACGAGACAATCTTCTTATTACCATATTATAATGTTAAGAACTCTTTGTAAACAGAAAACCTTAATTTCCACTCGCCCGATCTTTGGAATTCTCTTGATGAGTCTTTCAAATGCTCACCAAGTCTATTTTCATTTGAACGTAATCTGAAGTTAAAGCTAGTATATAAAAGTTATGCTCATTTGCCTCAAATGCATGCCATTATTCATTTCTTTTTACGATACACTTTTTCTCTTGGATTTATAGCAACCAATGTCGCGCAATGATTTTAGTGCATGTCAGCTGCTTCAGTGTCCTGTTCTTGTGCTTGGGCTATGTTTGCTTGTCTCGTCATACATTGTCTTGTTTTGTATTGTCCCATCTTTCCTCATCTCTGTTTTTCCTTGCATTTTCTACTTGATGATTATACTATAATATTTTGTGTTAGGAAATCTAAATTTCAAGCTATGCCTTCCTAGGTTTCCTCCGCAACACAGCAAGCAATAATCTGTTTTAGTCTTGATTGTACACTATCACTGCATTGCCGTATACCATATTATATAATATTTCTCGTTTAGTGATATTTTGATGGGAATGACTTTGTAAAAACGAAAAGCTCTGTAAATTTTATTTGCTGTTATTGTGGAAATAAATAAAATGGAACTAAGTGTAATGAATTGCTCTTTATGATATCAATTCCAATAATTAGCTATTATCATATGTCAAGCGATGAACTTAAATATGTATATATAAACAGACGTTTAGAGAATAGAGATTGTAAAAGAGGTTGCCAACATCGAAATAAATCGTTTGTTATAGCGCTACTTACTCAAGAATGTGGTGCTTGTGCAAAATTTTGTTTATCACCTTTTTATGATGCTTATGGATGCGCTTCGTAGATTTTACCTGTCATAATAGGATCGATGATTTATGAACAAAATGTATTTATTTTGGTCTCACTATATTGTTAATACAAAACATTCACGAAACCTCAGATTGTTGATGAATATGACACAAAGGCAGACCTGTTATTAACTGAATAAATTGTAATTTAATACCTGTCGAAGGGATGTAAAACAAACATTACCAGTATATTCTTTAATTCATTGTTGTGTTCTATCAATTTCATTAAAATTTGGAAATCTCCTAAATACTTCATTCATTGTTTCAGTTTCAGTTTTTCAGTAAGACTAGGGCAATATAGTCTTCCGAGCACACACCCCGGTTAAATCCTATAGAGAAGTACTGCAAGTATCAAGTATAACAAAGAATGTACTCTAAATTAGGCCCTTAATTTGTGCAAGACAAAATTATTCAACTACATGTGGATGTGTACTTTATACAACTTCAAATCAGAAAAATGCCCATGCCATAAATGACCATATCGATAGTGCATGGTGTTGTCATTGTTCCAATTTTACAAACCGGCTACTCCAGTTACACTGTCGCTCATATAGGTGGAATATTTTTGTTTTACCCCAATTTATGGAAATATTTAAAAATAATTTAAAAATAATAGATCTCGATAAAAGTATACATTCTCAGATTTTATTGAATAATAATTTGCAAATGTGTGTTTTGCGTGACTGCTAAAGCATTTGTATGCTTCTATGCTTATCAAATAGGGGACCTACGCACCTTAAGTCATAAATTATATAAAAAACACAGAAAATGCAATAATTTTTCAATAATTTATTGCATTTTACCCCGGTTCCCAACATAAACAAATCCTCTGTTTTCCCATGCCTTGAGCCATAATGCATGGCCATCCAGAGGATTTTGTTATGTTGGGAACCGGGGTAAAATGCAATAAATTATTGGAAATTTATTGCATTTTCTGTGTTTTTTTTATTTATGGAAACTGCCCCCTACCCTAGCCCCCGCTGCGTACTGTCATGGTTCAGTGATAAAGCAAAGGCCTCGTAACTGTGAGGCCCCAGGATCAAAATCGTGTCGATGTGCTATATTAGCGCCTTTTTGTGGGGCATTAATCCTCATTACTGTCATTTATGACTTAAGGGCGTAGGTCCCCTACTTGATAAGCAAAGTAGCATACATATGCTTTAGCAGTCACGCAAAACACACATTGTCAAATTATTATTCAATAAAATCTGAGAATGTATACTATTATCTAGATCTATTATTTTTTAATTATTTTTAAGATAATTCCATAAATTCAGGTAAAACAAAAATATTCCAACTATATGAGCGACAGTGTACAATGAGAGTCTCGGTTTTTCCCGAACATTGTACATTTTAAAAAGGCCAGTTGACCTCATAACGCGTTTTTAGTGCGCAGTGCACAAATGTTCAAGTTGCAGATTATTTCATTAAAGAGAAGGTTCATTGATTTAAAAAACCAACTTTAATATCATTATTGCAAAGTTGACACTCTAATTGGCCAAGGTTATCAAAAGCCAATGCTTGGAAACATTCTAAGTAATGATTATTAACAAATACAAAACGCTTAGATACCGCCCCGACATAGCACCTGAAAAGCTCCCCGGTCGCTGCTGAGATATGAAGTCACATGTTGAACATGATGGGCACAAGCAGACGATGTCCCATGACATCTCACACAATTTCAGTGTCTGTTTTGTCATCTTTTCTTCAGTTATTTCTCTTACTTCAATACCCTCAGGCGAAATGTTTAATATATTGCCTCACTCTAAACCCCGTGCATGGTATTATTTTGATGAACAATGCAAGGATTTTTTTTTTTTTTAAAGGAATCCGTCGCTTGTAAACAAAATAAGACGCAATTATTGTATTTTCAGCTGCATACACCGCGGCATGTTCGGCGTTTCAAGGGGGAACAAATGACGTCCATGCTATCATTCCGGAGGTTTTTTAATTTGAAAGTGTGGTTTCGTTGATTGTTCATTAACACCTATCCTGTGTATTTACAAACAAAAGAATTTAGTTATCAGAATGGGGGTCATGTTCCTTTTTGAATGGTGTAAAATTCCATCACATTTATATACACTAAACTCATTATAATTTGAGAAATAAAAGCATTGCAATCATGTTTATTCTTTATGGGATGTCGTCTGCTTGGGCAGGGTTGGTTCATATTGTGACGGTATTAAAACATTGTTCTTTTTCCGGCGAATCTCTCGCATATCCCAGATGCTATGGAGGTTGTTTCATTTGTATTTTTATAAACCACCCGATATGTAGTTGACCTAAAACTTGCATGATGGCCATCTGTTAGCTTACCGGTTTCTAGTTATATGCTATTTGCCATATTTGTGATTTTCTATGAACCTGCACTTTAAGGCTAACGTGTCATCCTGGTTCCTCCAATTCTTTCAGCACGTCTATCAGCTTAGAAACAGGTGTGATTAGAATGTTAACATTAGTTCAACACGGAATACAACAGGTAAGCTTCTAGCACTAAGGCTTCATTGATGTATTTAAACTGAAAGGCAAGTCTAAGTGCACATCAAAACGAGTAGCGAGTACGCATTAAAAAAATTAAAAAATGACTTTTGGGAAATTCAATGCGTTACTGAATAATATGTCCAGATATTATTCTTTTTCCAATTAATGTTTTATATGCGATGACATTTTAAAAAGATTAATGATATGTTATAATAACTAGGTAGTCCCTACTTTCACATCATATAGCTTTCCTGTCAACCGTTAATCAAATTGAAAAATACAGAACTGTATATAGCTTTGTTTTAGAAAGACATAGAAGGTAATTATTTGATAATCAAAGCTAATTGAACTTAGTTTAAACTTTAACATTTTACAAATTGGATAAATGATTAAAAGGAAACTTAACTGTTGTGAAATTTATTTATACTAGAATATAGCTTGTGCATATGTAATTCCTTAACATTTGAAATTTGCCTTTTCATTTGACTTGACATACTAATAAAAAATAATTTATTTATTTATTTATTTCATTTCCAGGCAAGATGATAACATACAAAACATCACAAGGTTAACAAATGATAGAACATACTGTAAACATAATGATATTTAGCACCAGCCAATGCCTGAGGATCACCTAAAAGAATTTTAAAAATTCTGTCGAGAGGCTCTCCACATTGGCTGGTGCATACATAAAACAAAATATAAAGATAAGGTCAACATAATTTATAAATGAATGTGTAACTAAAACTAACGGTAATATACATGTAGATCAAATACTGTTAGGATTATTTTAAAGAAGGATTCGAAAAAGAGCTGTTCAAACTATGCATGTATGATAAATGCAGAAAATTGTCTGTTTATACAGACATGTGGATACGGTAATGATTAAATACTTCTCTTTGATATGCTACATAAATCTAGTCATCTGATTAGTCAAAGTTGGAGTCGTGATATTAGCCAACCCCGCCTACCGGTCAATAGTTTTTTTTCTAAAGATGTCCGAATGCCCGCCTACCAGTCAATAGTTTTAAAAGATGCCCGTTGCCCCGGGTAACGGACCGCATAAATAAATTTTGCTGAGATCCCCATTGGTTTGCATGTATGAAGTTTGTGCGAGCGCGGATACCATACAGTGCTTTTGGTCTGCTATTCCCGAATGGTCGTAACATTCAGGCAACTTTTTAGCGAAGATTTACAGATAGTGTATCAGACTTTCTGTGATGTTTTAACAAGTCTGTACTCAAGAAAAATATAAGGTCAGGATTCTGTCTAGATTTGTTTGTGAATTCGGTATATAAAATATGTGTCGACTGCTTTAATATTCGAAGCATAGCTGTTTATATACTGGCTATCGGGGACGTTATATCCTGGATGTAACGTCCCCTAGGGACTACTAAAACATCAATGCCTCTCATAGCAGTCAATATATCTATATAATGATAATAATGATACTAATAATAATGTTGGTATACTTTAGTATATCATTTATTAACTTTTTTTTTGTGTGTGTAATATTATATTCAGTTAATGTATTCCAATGTTTTTGTTTAACTTATTTTTATAGTTGATTTTTATTATCTTTCTAAAACTATGCATAAATTATGTTGAATGTTAAAATTTGATATCGTACAGTTCTAATTGTAATTTTTTTTTTTTTTTCATGTGTAATTTTTATAACTGGGCTCTATGGAAGACCAAGTTTTTAGTTTGATATACTGAACAGACTATCCTGAATAAAGAAGTGAAATAAAAAATAATAATAATAATGATAACAACGATGATAATAATATCAACAAGATTAAAGTAAATTTTCATTTATTAAAATCTCCTGAAATTATCTTCGAACATTGTTAGGGGCCAGAAGTGAAAATAGTATTAGGTGAAATTTGAGTCTTTGGCTATATAATTTCAAATATGAATAGTTGAATCCAAAATACTGCATCCCTATTGACAGGGGCATCGCTAAAGAGGGGGGTGCGCCCCCCCCCCCAACACACACACACACACACACCTGTCGGTAAAATTTCGCTGCTGTCAGGAATAATGAGAGGATATGAGAAAGAAAAGAAGAAGGAAAAAAGGAAAGGAAAGAAAGGAAAGAGAAGAAAGAAAGAGAAAAAAATATAATAGAGAGGGGGATACTGGGTGAAGTCGCCACGTCGAGGGAGCATGAAAGATACGCATAGATAACTACGTTGCTGTGTCGGGTCAGATGTGACGGTATTCTTGCTCGATCCTCGTGTACTATATCAAGTCGGTGAGATGTATTATGTCGGTCGGCCGGGAATT